TATCCATTCATCTATTGATGGGCGCTTAAGTTGCTTCCACATCTTAACTATTGTAAATAATGCTGCAATGAACATGGGGAGGAGGAATATATCTTTTCTAATTAGTGTTGTTAGTTTCTTCAGATAAATACCCAAGAGTGGAGTTGCTGGATCATATGGTAGTTCTGTTTTTAATTTTTTGAGGAATCTCCATACTGTTTTCCATAGTGGCTGTACTAATTCACATTTCCACCAACAGTACATGAGGGGCCTTTTCTCCACATCATTGTCAATACTTGTTGTTTGTTGTCTTTTGATAATAGCCATTCTGTGAAGTGATATCTCATTAGAGTTTTGATTTACATTTGCCTGATGATTAGTGATGTTGAGATCTTTTCATGCCTCTTTTGGTTGTCTATGTGTGTCCTTGGAAAAATATCTATTCAGATCCTCTGCCTATTTTTAAAACTTTTTTTTGATGTTGAATTGTATGAGTTATTTGTATAATTTGGTTATTAACACCTTATTGGATATCATTTGCAAATATCTTCTCCCATTCAGTAGGTGGCCTTTTCATTTTGTTGATAGTTTCCTCCACTGTGCAAAAGCTTTTTAGTTTGACCATTTATTTATTTTTCCTTTTGTTTCCCTTGTCTGAGGAGACATATTGCTAAGAGTGATGTCACAGAACATACTGCCTATGTTTTCTTCTAGGATTTTTATGATTTCAGATCTTATATTTAAGTCTTTAATTCATTTTGAGAGTATTTTCGTATATGGTTTGAGAAAGTAGTCCAGTTGGATTCTTTTGCATGTAGCTGTCCAGTTTTCTCAACAACATTTATTGTATATTCTTACCTCCTTTGTCATAGATTAATTGCTAGTATAAGTATGAGTTCACTTCTGCACTGTCTATTCAAGTGGGCATGATCATGTCAGTGAGGGATGTCCAGGTGTTGCCTTTGTCATTATGCCAGTTAATAAAGCACCTGGCTGCAGTTACCAGAAGACTTTGGTTAGTGGCATAAACATGGATTAGTTAATTTTCCTTCTGTTTCAAGCAGTCTGAGGGAGACAGCTGTAGCTCTGGTGCAGTGCTCAGTGATTTAGGTCAGGGCCTATTTCTCTGAGATCATCAGAGTCTTTCCTTATGTCTTATGTGCTTTTATCTTATGTACTTATGTCTCATGGTTATAAGATGGTTTCTGCAGCTCCAGACATCACATCTGCTCTCAAGGCAGAAGGTAAAGGGGTGTGGAAGTGCAGCCCCAGCACTACTTTCTCTTCCATCTGGAGGGGCAAGAGTCTTCCAGGGTCCCAGGAGTCTTTGGAGGAGATTTGCAAGTCGCTCAGCCCTCCCACCTACCAGGGAGGGTGAAAAGGAAGTGTTTTTCTGAGAGCTGGTCCCTGAGGCTCCAATCACAATTAGGTACAGAAGGGGGCAAAGATGGCTGGTGATGGAATGCCATAGCATCTGTGGCAGAAATCTCTTTTTTCTGTTACATATTAATGACATCTTTGTTTACTTTGTGTTTTATGTCTTTTTTCCTTACTTACCCACATATCATTCCACCTGTGCAGGGTTCCAATGAGCAGAAAACAAGCAGTAATTACTAGCTCATCTAGGGGTTATTATAAATAAGATGGTGACTAGCAGTTTCCAAACACTTAGCCTTTGCATGATCCTCAGGGTGGCACTGTGTTAAGTGCTTTTACATACATTGTTTTATTCAATTTTCACAGAATTTCTATGAGTTAAATGCTCGTATCCCCAGCCTACCAGTGAAGGAACTGAAGCTCACAGAGGTGGAGTTATTTGCCCAAGATCACATTAGCTAAACAATAAAATCAGGATTTGCATCTAGGTGTGTCTGCCACAAAAGCAGAATCTCACTGTGAGAAGCTTCCTAGGAGAGGCAGTAAATCTTCATGGCAGAAAATGATGTGCATCGTGTAGAAACAGGAAGGAGGTTTGCTCATACAGAGGGACAGGTTGGGGACAGTCTCAGAACTGGGGAGAAAGACAGCAGGAGCAAGAAGAAAAATTATGACATTAGATATCCTGAGATTTGGGGCAGATTATCTAGCTGCATATCTATAGAGGGCAGTGTTTCCTGTCTGGGACAGTGAGTGAAATCAAAATTATTCAGAAATGATTTAGAGAGACCAACTTCCCCTTTTTAAGACAAGGCATTTTACAGCATAACATTATCTAGCCATTGCATTTGTATCATTTATTCACTGTATTTGTAGGCTACTTTAGGTACTAAGAGCAGAATATGTTAATCCTGGATTGCTGATATTAACATGCCTTTCTTTGCTTCACTTGAGATGAAATTCTGCTGCAAGTGTTTTCCAAAGTTCCATTTGATGAAACAAGAAGAACAGCAGATAAATCAGTTACAAAGAGAGACGTGAAAGAAAGCAAGTATATGTCTTTAAAACTCTTAAGCGCACATTTTGGAAGGTCTTTGCGCAGTCATACCTCGTTTACTGCTCTCCGCTTTATTGCTCGTTGTGGACATTGTGCTTTTTACTGAAGGTTTGTGAGAACCCTGCACCGAGCATGTCTTTTGGCACCATTTTCCCAATGGCATTGCTCACTTCTTGTCTCTGTGTCACATTCTGGTAATTCTCACACTATTTCAAACATTTCCATTACTATTATATTTGTTACGGTGACCTGTGACCAGTGATCTTTGATATTATTACTATGACTCACCAAAGGATCACATGGTGGTTAGCATTTTTTAACAATAAAGTATTTTAATAAAGGTATTTTTTTAAGAGCTAATGCTGTTGCACACTTAACAGACTACAGTATAGTGGAGACATAACTTTTGTATGCACTGGGAAACCAAAATTTCATGTGACTCACTTTTGTGCTGTTCACTTTATTGTGGTAAGCTACAACTCGCCCTGCAATATCGAGGTGTGCCTGTATTGTATTGTTTGTACTGTCCTGTCATTTTAGCCTTCTTTAAACCAGATAGGTGTAGGGCAAAACCAAACTGAGATGTGGAAGAAAGAATTGCCCAAAATATTCTCTATAACTTTCTAGAGATTATGGAAGTCTATAGTCCAGAGGTTGAATATCCCAGTATTTTGGAAGTGATCTCTGAAATTCAAGGGTCAGGCAGTTTCTCTTACCTTGAAGGGTGTTCAGAGGACAGGAACCAGGTTTGTAAGTGGTGTTCACTGTTCCTGGTAACACTTGATGTGAGTAGTGTAGTAACTGTATTCAACACACTTCGTAGTTCAATGTACATGTGTCCTAGTCACTGACTTGGGAGAGTGGAGCCTCCTACACCCCTCCCCATCACCTCCCCCTCCCCCAGCCTCTGGAAAGTATTTGCAGTGAGAAGCAGAGCTGATTTCTCCCTTTGTACTGATGCTCAAATGAGAAAGCTAAGGGGAAAGAGCTGACCCCCTATGCCAAAAACATGTACATCAGCCCAAATCACACAAGTGACAGAGAAATCCTTTAAGGTGGACACAGTGTGCATTAGGAAAATCTTACAACTGGGTAATTTGCCAGGATAAGCCAGGCATGTGTGCCATGTTGAAATTATAAAACTACTAGCAAACCAATTTTATAACTAACAGACTCCTAATGGAGTTTATGAACCATGTGATTAAAACTGAATATTTTACTGCGTAATCATGATTGTGTGTCCTGCACAGTGTTTCTTTATGCTCCACTGGCTGATGCAATATGATGAACACATTTTTAGCAAAGTGCTTGCGTGATTGTCTATTCCTAACAATTCACCAATGTCTCACTAACAGAGAAACATACATTTGTTATTTATTGGATCAGAGTAGTCATACTTGAAATCACTCGGCATGCACCAGGTAGGTCTTCCTACCAATTTTTTTGTTGTTATAGGATTGAAAGCTTCCATGTGCACAGATTACTCAATGGCTATGCAGACTGTCTGCGAGGAAACCGTGTGATAATTGGTATTGCCACTGGTTCTGAGTTAAAAGTTCAGATTCTTGCAGACACTTCATGAATGTGATGTGCCTCTCAGAATAGGCAGGTGCTGTGGCCTGAAACTCCTTCATTAGGGGACAAGTTTCTCCGCCCGGGATGGGGTTGCCCACCCCTCAGGGGCCAGAGAAAAGGGCTGACCGTGACCTTGAATCAGGAAAGTGTGTGTGGACACAGACATCATAACCTCAAAAAAGAAAAGCCTGAAAATACAGCTCAGAATCTTCACAGGTTGCTAGTCTTTTAGCACAATTAATTCACATCCTTGATGTGGCCAGGTGAGGGTCAGCAGAAGTCTTAATGTCCAACCACAACATCCTAGGGGAGATTGCTGATCTGGTCCATCTCTATTTGCACCTTCATTTTCTCATTCCTCAGTGACAACATCAAGAATTCCTTGTGCTTGTCTAAGAGGTCAAGTCAGGGTGACCTCCGGCCCCTGAGCCCCTCCCAAATACAGACCCGTAGTGTGGATTAGTGCAGAGTATACAGTAGCACTGTTCCCTCTCCTCCAACACAAGAGAGCATCACATTTCCAGAATGGTTGGTCACTGCTCGTTGGCCTCATTGCCTGTGGAAGGGAGAGTGTTTGTTGAAAGGACCCTGAGATGTGTGTTCATCTGTCTCTGTTCCTCCCACAGCTGAGCTCTGAGCGTGACCTTGCTTGGAACCGGCACCGTTACTGCCGTTCATCACAGACAGTAGCGCTGAGCCCGGAAGAGGGGAGAGCGCTTTCAGTCTGCAGGTCGCGTCAGTGAATGTTATCCCCTCTCCTCACTGATCTCCAGTGGTTGGGCATCTTTCCCTCCAGCCTCAGACGAGAAAACCAAACTCCATGAGCTTTACTGCCTAAGATCATGCAGTGTTCAAATGTTGTGCTGGAGCCCAAGCCCAGGGCTCTCCCCTGGAGCAGGCCAACTGCATGATGGTCCTCTCAAAATACCACACCTGAGTGTGTGGATTTAAAGAGAATTACATGCAGATCCAATGAAAGACTGACTCACAGCTGAGGTTTATTTTCCCATAGGTTATCCTCAACAAAAGAGCTTGAGAGATGCCGAGTTTGCATCAGGTTCAAATAAGCGAGAAGAACATTTGGCTCGACTGTTTGGTAAGTAATCTGCTCACGTGAAACTGTCAGGCTGTATTTGAAGAGTCCTGTGCTTGTCCGTGGTGGTGTCTCAGGTAACCTGCTCATGCTGCTCTGATGAGAAGTAAAGTGCGTTGCCTTGAGGCTAGAAACAGTTTTCTAAATGTTGGAAGTCTCAAGAAATTAAGCAAAATTAGAAGATAAAGAGTTGGAAAGAGTTCTGTTCTTCAAAGAGGGATCCAGGTAGCAGCGGCAGGGCCACCATCTAGAAGTCATTGGAACCACAGTGTCAGACCCCACCCTGGACCAGCTGCATCACTTCTGGATGAGATGCCCAGGTGATTTCTGCACCTGTTGGAGATGGATGAGGCCCCAAGCCTGAGATAGACCTTCTCCCACGTCCTTAGCTCTGAGGATGAGAATCCCTTGAGAGATTGTTGAAAAGAGACACATGATCAGATTTCCTGGTACAGCATGAGACCTTTGAATCAGTAGTTTTTAAAGCTCTCCAGTTGATTCTAGGCTGGGACTCAGTGATCTCTTCCAAGCTTCCCATGTAACATTTGAGAAAAACCAAGGCCTAGATGGAAGATGGTGACGGAGGAAACTTCAGGAGTACATCTCTTCACCAAAGCTATAACTCAGCTGGCGAGTACTATCTTAAGCAACTATTTTGGAACACTGGATTTCATTTGAAAACTTGGCGTCATCCTGGAAAGAGCTTGATGAAGAGTCTGGTAAATGTTAGTGAATTTCAGTATTTCGTGTAGATCCTGCCATTCTCCATCCCCCAGGCCCATGGCAGGAAACCAAGTGGTTGGCAGCCCACATTCTCAGTGTGACTTGCTGGTGCCAGAATGGGCAATAGGGACCATGTCCTTCAAAAATTTGGGTGTGTATTGATCACTGCCTTTAATCACTGAGGGCCGGCACTGAGGGTGGCCATTATTTTACTCTTATGGTCTGAAGAGGCTTCCAAGAAACCTTGTTAAGGACATTAAAGAAACAGTATTTTTTGTTTTTCTCTTTTTGAAATATAGACACTTAAAGAAACCTTTGTCAGGCCACTGAGTGACCACAGAGATAACAAACTGGAAATTCAGCACCCATACACAACAAGGAATACACATTTTGCCAAAATAGTTTGAAAAAGTCACAAATGCATGGTTCTAGCCCTCAACAAACAGAAATTGGTCATCTATGAGGAATGGGAGAATTAGATTTCCAAAGTTATCAAAATATAAAACTTGGAATGTTTAGCTCTCAACAAAAAAAAATTACAAAACATACAAAGAAACAAGATAGTATGGCCTATTAATAGGAAAATAAAAAAGAATTGGACAGAACCCATTCCTGAGGAAACCTAGAAATTGGAATTATTCATCAAAGGTATTAAATCAACTGTCTTCAGTATGTTCAATGAGTAGAGGAAATGACAAAGAACGTAAGGAAATCAGGAAAACAGTGTTTGAACAAAATGAGAATCTCAATAGATAAATAGAAATTATAAAGAGGAGCCAAAGAGAAATTCTAAAGTTGAAAAGTACAGTAACTGAAATAAAAAATTCACTAGAGGGATTTGGCAGCAGATTTGAGCAGGCAGAATTAAGGATCCTTAACTTTTTTTTTTTTTTACATTTTTATTGATTTGTAATCATTTTACAGTGTTGTGTCAAATTCCAGTGTTCAGTACAATT